TGATGAACTTTGATACGAATTGGGGTCCCCGGTCAGAGATGACTTTGGAGAGGGTAACCCCAAATCGACAAATGACCTCGTTGCATAAGATCTTGGCCCATCTGCTCGATGAGAGTTCTTTCGTGCATGGAATTAGCATGATGTATTTCGAGAATTGATCTACAATGACTAGTACTGTGTTGTAGCCCTTGGAGTCTGGAAACCCAGTAATCATGTTGACTGAGATGTGTTCCCAGGGTCGAGATGGTACAGCGTTGGGATGTAGCAGAGCTGCTTTCCGCTGCATATCGGTTTTCGTCCTCTGACATGCCTTGCATCCTCAGACATAAGTTTCCATGTCCCTTCGCATTTTGGGCCACCAGTAGTCTCTTAAGACTAATTCCCTGGTTTTTTCGATGCCTGAGTGTCCTGCAGAGACATGATCGTGGTGATGGGAGATGAGTTCTCCTCGTAGGGTGTGGTTGTGGGGAACGTAGATATGTCCATCGTAGAATAGAAGGTGGTCCTTCTCAATGACCCCCTTCTCATGGTTGAGGCTTGAAGCGATCCCTCAGTCCCACCATTGGCGATCGCTTGTTGCCCTTCGAATTTTGCCATGAATTTCTTCCTCTGCTGGCATTATCAAGGCGCAGAAGAATTCTGGCTTCAAGAGGACAATATCATTATTGTCCCTCTTGCCTTGGTCATGGTCGGCCTTCCTATGGGACACTCCCGGTTTGTGGTTGAGTGTGAAGTGGTATTCCGCTAACTCAGTGACCCACCGCACCTGTCTGTGGTTGAGTTTCTGGGGTTTGCGGAAGTATTGCAGGTTTGAGTGATCTGTCCAGATTTTGAAATCTTGACAGGCACCCATAAGATAATGTCACCATTCTTCTAAGGTGATCATTATCGCTAGTAACTCCTTGTCGTAAATCTCGTAATTCCGTTCCATCGCAGAAAGAGATTTCGATAGGAATGCAATCAGGTGCCATTTCCCTTCCTGCTCCTGTGACAGGACAGCACCAATTGCCCCTTCGCTGGAGTCTGCCTCCAGGCAAAACTTGTTGTAATCGTTTGGCATCGCCAAAACGACTCCTGTTGCGAATTGATGTTTGAGTTCCTCAAATGCCTCTTGTTGTTCCTTCCCCCATGTCCAAGGGACCTTTCCCATGAGTTTTGTCATTGGTTTGACAATTGCACTGTAGTGCCAGATAAATCGTTGATAGAAATTGGTGAATCTCAGGAAGGATTGTAGTTCCTGTTTCTTGGAGGGCACTGGCCAGTCCATGATACCAGCGATTTTAACTGGATCCATTCTAATGGATCCTTCGCTGATGATGACTCCAAGGTACTCGGTTTTGAGTACCTCGAATTCACATTTTTCTGCCTTCAAGAACAATTTGTTCTTTCGCAGAATCTTTAGGACCTCCCACACAATTCTTTGGTGTTCTGCTTTGTCCTTTGTGAAGATGAGGATGTCATCCAAATAAATGGTGACTTTTCCCTGAGCAATGAGATCTTTAAAGATATCATTCATCATCCATTGGAACGTGGCAGGCGAATTGGTTAGTCCAAAGAACATAACCATGGGCTCATAGAGTCCTCAGTTTGTGCGAAACGCGGCCTTGAATTCATCTCCCTTCTTGATTCGAACGTTGTTGTATCCCCAATGGACGTCTAGCTTAGTGAAATACCTCGCATCCTTCAGCTTATCCATAAGATCGGAGATAAGCAGTAGAGGATAGCAGTTTTTGATGGTTATTTCATTAAGCTTGCGGTAGTCTTGTACTGGCCGCAGTTTCCCATCCTTTTTCTTGACAAAGAAAAAGGAGGACGCCATTGGGGACTTGGAGGGTCGAATTCGGCTGGTAGCCAGGTTTTCATCAAGGAATTTGTCCAACTCCTCCTGCTCTTTTGGGTTCAAGGGGTATATCTTGCAATCCAAACTGGCATTGGCATTGGGAATAAGTTCAATGGCATGGTCCCAAGGCTTGCAAGAGGGAAGTTCATAACATCGATGAAATCTCGATAATGTTTGGGGACGATTTCCTCGAACGACTTTATTTTCTTTCCCTCATTGGCCTTGGCGGCTAGGTCATTGGCTTTATGCCCCACCGCTCGCATGTGAAAGGCTTCTTCAAAGTCTATGATGAGGATGGTGTCTCCGTCCTCGACCTCAGTTCCCCACTGCTGTTCTGGATCTTCATCTGGGAGACAGAACGGTACTTTGCGGCAGTCACAGCACGCCAAAGTTACCGAACCCGTGTTCCAGTCAATAAGTGGGTTGTGCCTTTGTAGCCAGTCATGTCCTAGGAAGATAGGTGTCGTTCCAAGGTCAACGACTGCTAACTCGATACATTCGCTGTGGTCTCCAATCTTGAGTTGGACCTCAGCAAATTCGGTGATGTCACCGCCTTTGTTGCGAGTACCATCTGCGTTGTAGACCAGAGTGGGGTGAGCCACTTTATGCGTGGTAATACCATGATCACAGGTCCACTGTCGGTCGATAGCACTTCCGGTACAGCCACTGTCAATCAGGGCCTTCGCGGAGTGATGGGCCATAGTATCAAAGGTCTCCAGTTGTAGGGTGATTGTGATATTTTGCCCCTTTGCTCCTCAGACATACTGGGGTGGTTTGGTAAGCTGGTCCATATGTTCCAGCTTTCGGTACTCGTCCAGGTAGGACTCCCCAACTTGGTTCTCCAAGTCGGCAACCAGCGGCTCATCCACCTCTGTTTGTCATTGGGGGTGGACCCACTGTTTGAGAAGTGACATCTTCTCTCCTGAGGTCTTGGCGAGTCGCATAGCTTGCTGAGTCCAGGTGGCTCCAAAGGGCTTCAGCCATTGGGAGCCCTGAGAGTACTCCACCGATGCTGGCAGCATCAGGGTCTTCCTCTCGTCGTCGCAGTCCATAGGCCACAAAGGCCCTGCTCCTATGACCGTGCGACCGGTCAGTTCCCTTTCACCTCGGTGCAGACACCCACTCAGGTTAGTTGGGACTTCACTGGATTTTGGAAAGTTCCGTAAACTTTTTAAATACCTAGGATCACTTTCACTGTTAGTACCTTCCTTCAAGGAAGTACATACCTGGGAAGGGGAGCCTCTCTCCCCTGTTTGGCCTGCTTGATCCTTGTGGGCGATTGAGCTTTTTTGGCTGGTGTCCTCTAGGGTAGAGGTGGCCGTTTCCTGGTTATTCTTTCTACTTGGTTCCACATGTGGTGCTGGGTTATCTCCTGAGGCTTTACAACAGTCTGCCATCAGGTCCGCTGGGCTCTGCCAGCCCTCAGCTTCGTCCCTAGGCTCACCTGGATTCCCTGACCTCACCATCACTGAAGTGGTCTGTTGTCAGGGAACCCTGATGCATGGAGGAGATGCCAGTTCACCGTCGTCTGGATCCACTGCCACTATTTGTGACTTTCCCAGGAGTTGGGCTATATAGTCCTGGGTTTGACCTCCCATATGGCAGATGTCACCCATAGGGAACAATGATGTTGCACCCCCAAGGTTCCACCCTTGGTCGCCTGTTGAACCAGTAGGCTCCTCTGCATCATACATGCGCCCCAAAGGGGTATTTGCAGTGGCTTGGACACAGCAGGTACCACCAGTACTAGGACTTGACTGGTGGGGTTCATTGCTAGTGAAAGCAGCAGAAATCCCGTGTACGCTGTTGAAGGGCAAATTCGAGGGTCCCCCTCCTGCTTTTATGCAAGCGTCAGGTGGAGGAGACAGGCACGAGAAGCCCCGTCGACCCTGGGCTTCGTTCCTGGTCATGCCTGGACTCTTGATCCATTGATCGAGAACTCGGTCCGGATTCTTGATCGAGTGATCGAGAGTTGCTTCTGGATCCTCGATTGATCGATTGAGATCCATTCTGCACTGGTATGGCCTTGAATTGCTAGTTGGGTCCGACTCTTTTGTGCCTGACCCTCGGGGTTCATTGCCCAACGGGCGGTGGTAATCCCCTGCTACACTGTTCTTGTTTTGCGATTCCTTCATAGTGCGAGATGAATGCAGTGTATTGTTACAAGTATCTACAGATACAGCATAAGTATGAACATTCGTGTCATAAGGCACACCATGATAAACCCCAGCCGACGAAGTAGAATCGCAGAGTCCTATGCTGGCATCTCTTTTATCTCCTCGATCTCTGTCGAGCTAGCGAGGTCTTCTTCCTCTATTTCTGCTAGGATGGCTCGGAGATGGGTTGCAAAAGTCAATGGCTTCTTCTTCAGGAATTTAGCCACTTTGACTTGTCAGGTGGGCATTTATTGTCCTGCCCCTGGTGTCCAGTGTGTCTGCACCAGAAACATCGCTTTTCTCTTTTGAGATGATCGATGTCCATAGGTTCGCCTTTACCACCATAGGTGAATCCAGTGGCATCCCTTCTGCTCTTCAAGCCACTCGAAGAGCCTCCTGCTGTTCCAGGCTTGGAACCAGTGGTCCTGCTGGGATACTTCCCACCTTGGGTGAGATGAACTCGATAGTTTTCATCCATTTGTAGGACCCTGCACCTCCACTCCCACAGCCTGGACTGCTAGATTTCTGTTTGAAAGGTGTCAGTTGGCACTTAATTGTGATGCATCAGGAGTGTCAGTTAGAACCCAAGTGTCAACTAACGCCTGGGCTAACAAATCCCACAGGATCCCGCGCTGGCAGTTATGACATCAGAGACAAGAACCGGCGAGGTCCGGGGTTCGAACCAGCAATGCAGCAAAATATTGACTAACCTTATGACATCATTGCAACAGCACAGACTTTAACCAGTAGACTACTTGCCTGTTACCAATAGGTGTAATTAAAGCTAAATATAGATCATCCAGCACAGCCACTTTCTCAATTAGAGACGGCGCAAATAGTATATCAGTGGCACAGTATTAGATGTCCCATACTGCCCAATTGGGATTATGATTGTAAATAACTTGATGACATGCAGGAAAGGAGTAAAAATAATGAAATTATGAATAAACGATATGGCATGATTATGTCATACAGTGCTCCCCCTCATGGAACTCACTGTTCCCTCAGAGATCTGCATAATCCTCCTCATCCAGCTCCACCTCCTCCTCATCACTCCAAATCCCGATGTTATGTTCATCCCTATCACCATCGCTGCTGGCATCATTGTCATCACTGGGATGCAGTTCGGAACGCGGCGCATTCTCCATTTGTCCATCGTCTAGAGCTGTCAACCAGAGATCCCAAAATTTGACTGCCAGCTGACACTGTATGTCGCTTTGTTTGAGAGCATAGGCATCCACCGCTTTGCGCAGTGCACCGCCTAACTCATGCACATCCCGCCGTTGCATCCACCACTCCCCTCGCCATTCCAAGAACCTCAAGGTTCTGCGCATTTCCTCCCAGAGGAGCAAAACTTCCTCACGTGCCCGATGTGCTCTTGCACAACTGCGACACCATTCCGAACATAGCACTTCATCATCGTTTTCATCAGCCCCATCCGCTAGGTTGATCTTCATCATTGTCCAAATCCAAGAAAGAGTACGCCAGGTTTGGCCAGTCCCATCGCGTTTTTCTCGACTATCTTGATACAGATCAACGCTGGGTTCAGGAAGTTCGGGAACCAATCCTGGCTCCCAGCTATCTTCATTCGTTCCTTGGCAACCTGTTCCTTTATGGAGACGATCTGGATCTTGATAGGAATGGATATCACCATCTTCGAGCTTATGAAGCCCCTCCTCCCAATCCCCCAGGCCACTCAGCTTCATTTTTGCCTCCCTTGCCATATGGTACTTGATTGCTGCTGCTAGTGCCTGTTCATGAATGGCATTGATGCCTGTCCATGAACATGTTCCATCCTGCTGACCTTGTACATTCTTGTTCTTGTACTCGACCATCCGCATTTTCAAGCGCAAGATGTGGCGAATCGAACCTAATGAGTCATGGCATTGCGCTGTGTGTAGATGCTCCTCCATTTCCAATAAAGAGGCCTCACATACCTGGCTCCTGCGATCCACTGGTATGCAGGAGGGTAGCCATAGTCTCACCTCCTCTGCTAATGCCCCAGTTGACAAATAATCCACCTCCTGAGTCTCGGTAATAAACTGCAGGAGCCCAGGCATGTATGTGGCATGCAACTCTTCGAATTTTTTGATCTTGGACCGGAGAAGACTTTGCTGCTCTGCAATGTGAGCGTCTTGGTGAGCAGTCGGATTGGCTTTCAGTTTCCTAACCTCCAAGCATAGTTTTTGCCTGAATATGCCTCAGTAGAAGCTTCCAAAACATACAGGTCACTCACTGTGACTCCTCGAGGGCCAAACCAAAAACCATAAAAGCTGAAGGACTCATGTCATGAACCACCTGTCCCCCATTGCACCTGCAAGCCTCCTCTTCCTCAGCCAACTCTTTATGAACCTCATCCTCCGTCAAATCTGGCGGACTCCATCAAAATTGCAGATAGGAAAAAAATTGACTAGACGCACCGTCGCTCTGAACACAGAAGGGGTTCAGCACCGTCTTAGGAACCTTATCAGCCTCCCATGCAGCACAGATATCCTCCCATTCAGTGACCATATTGGGTGGCAAGCTCTGCGTAAAGCCTCTGTGTGCTTCTTCCTGCCAGTTTCGCTCCAAGACCGCATCTCTGTAGTGTTTCCAAAGTGTTAACCCTAGCCACATTCAATACACATCCAAGGGAATTTAACAATGCCTCACCCATGCAGCAATATTTGAGCCAGTTCCAAAATCCGAAATGGTCGTCAATCAGATCCTGCCTCGTACCTGGCCCCGCAGTCTTGGTTGAGTTTCCTAGAACGTTGTGGGGTGCCCATATCCTTTCAGGACATTCTCCATCCGATAAAGCGGCGCCTTCAGCAAGGTTGAAAGAGAATTGTTCGTGGTCCTCTGCTTTATGACCCGGTTCATGGAACTTTGGCACCAGTGGGGTCACTCTGATATCGGGATTGAATCGAAGCTCAGAGGGCCAATGTGAGGTCATCCATGTGAATATCGTCTTGATCCATTGGCAGGCAATGTCATAGCTGATAATGACCCAGAGCAAATCTGAGAATTGATGGATAGCTGCTGCAGTGAGGGGGTCGACGTTGGCGTATCTGTGAACCAAGGATGAGTACCTGACCCACAGCTCTGCTATGATTGCTCACCTCTCACCCTTATTCATATTGCCGACACATGTAGGCAGAACCATCTCACTTCTTCCACAGGACACTGCAACCACACCTGTGTAATGGAGCCCTTTTGAAAACTTTGTGTTTGATTTGGCCATGGCAGAAAACTCCATGCAGTTACTAATCTGAGGTAGAGTTAGCAAGATTGAACCAAAATAGATGAATTAAGAACCAACGTCTGCATCTGTAGCTCGACTTTGAACGTATTCCTCATAAGGCTCGTGGGCAGTGAAGTATGCCCAACCGATACCGAGACCTGGGTCCCTCGAATACGATGACACAATCTGGTTCTTAAGCCGGAAGTTCATGTCGATGCATATAAGCAAAATATACAAAAATCTAGGTCAGTGGGTTAGATTAAAACCATCACATTATAACATCTATGCTTACTTTAAGTGGGGAGGTGCTTGATCCCAGTCTGGAGGTAGGTTTATTCCCAGCCGAGGACAAGATGGGCAGAGGACGGCAAGCTTGCCTGGCTTTGTACCCTCAGATCCAGTGACATCATGCACTTGCCCACCTCTCTTTAACAGCTTCAAGTGATGCCATTGAATAAGCATACACATCAGGGCTGCTTTATGAGAGGGCAGTGTATTCAGCCCCATATTATCCGTCATTCTCTCTAATGTGCGATAAAAATGATATGTGGATGTTTTGGAGACAAGGGAAAAGAGGTGGAGCAACTCCAACAGCTGGAACATTGCACAAGTCTTCACCACCTTCTGGCTAGCAGGATACCATCCACATCGTAGGAGTTGAATGTGCTGCAGGATTTGTCACCCACAACCACAGTAATCAACTGCAACGTCATGAATGCCCGTGGTATGGAGAATTTGAAGCTTGACATGGCAGGGTACAGGGGAGAGGACATCGGAAACTTTGGTGGTTAAGCTGAACGTGTAAGCCAATCGCTTTCAGCGTGATTGGGGCAAAGTAAAGCCCAGTCCATCACTTAAAGGAATGTCAGTACTGGATGTTCACGTTAGGGTAACTGGGGAAAAACTACCTCGATGCTGGTGGAATGGATTCTGCCTATGCCGACAGGACGCAACAGGATGTGCAGACCAAATCACTGAGAAAACAATCCTTACACTGAACCTCCGGCTCTCCCTGCACCTCTTCCTCAACATTCTGAGCGATACAGTCAGGACATTTCAGATTCTGGCGAGCGTCTCCTCATCCGTCGTGGCGAGTAACCTCAGTCTAGATAAACCTGATCTGAACTGCTCCTTCCACACCAAATGTGGCCGCCTCTTCCAACCGTCCTCAGCACATAAGCTGGTTTCCAAAGACTTGCCACTCACCGAAACTTTTGACCTCGTTGCCTTTTGAGGTTCCTTTGTGTTGTGGAAGATGGTACTTTCAAACACTTCTGCATTCATCTGGTCCTCGTAACTGCTCCCATCTATGTCGAGTGAAAGCTCAGAATCGTCTGGAGGGTTCCACATACTTCCGAGGGTCCAACCTGCTTTGCTGCGTAAGGGTTTGGACTCAGATGAGGATGTATGTCCATGTCGATCGATGCCAGACATTTGAGAGTGTACTCTGTCATAGTTGTCCTTGAATTCTATGCAACGGTGGGTGCCTTCTAGGTGCTGAGGATGGTGACCACACTTCATTTTTCAATGACAATCGGGAATGTGGGCAAAGTCAACGAACTGCAATTGGCCGACTATGTTACATAAGCAACTCAGCTAGGTAAACATACATCAACTTGCCAGCCCTTCATATTCTTAATGGAAAGTGTTGCAATTAATGCTGTGGTGACATACGATGCTCAGCACCATTTCCTGCAGCATCTCAAAATATGTTAAAATTGATGAAACTATCTTACAACGGCACAACATGTAACTATGTATGAACGAACCCTTTTCTTATGCTACATGGAATAGTTCACCGAGCATCCAACATGGTACCGGAGAAGAAGGAGCTTGTCTGCCTGATTCCCAGTGTGCCAATTCCCAGACAGCTTATATGCTGTGTGATACATGTTAAGCTGGTCATCGGACAGCCCTTCAATAGCACGTGTATCATGTAAGAGCAGAAGGTTTTGGCTGGGTATGACAAAATCTATATCGTTTGGGAGATGACCTTCCTCAGAGGGTAGGAGAGCGAAAGGGTCATCAGAGACCATCGCCACAACTCAGGTTGTGGGCCTACAAAAAAAGGTCAGAAGGCAGTTAGCACAAAAATAAGTGACATACGACAGCGGTGGCGATTTCCACCCTAATGAGGCACTTTTCGATCAGTGGAAAAGGACTTATCGAGGCAGGGTTTCAAGGTCATTGAAGTGGTTTGTAAAGATACCATGCAGCTCTGTAACAATGCGTTGCCCTCACTCACTATCATCATGGATGAGGAATTCCTGCCTCTCGACAGCATCCCGATGCAGGCTGGGCTTCCATATCATCCATCTTGGTAGCCCAACCTTCTAAGAGCGCAGAGGCCCAGGCGGGCATAACATCATTCTCGCCTACTAGATGTATCAGCGACACGTGAAGACAAACGTGACAACATTCAACATACCGGCTGTACGGGCATCAATCAATCGATGCTTGTAGACTTCAACTTCGGTGACATCACTGGGGGTCGCCCTGACCTTGCAAAGCGGGATGGGCTATGCGAAGGGTAAGCTCGAATGTTAGCAACACGCATTAAAGTGGCCTCACAGACGGAAAGGCTTAATCGAGAGATATAAGACATTGCATTAGTGATGTCCTGAAGAGATGGAGGGACAGAAGACAGGGGGGGGGTGAGTGACCTCTGGGGCATGGGCATCTGGGATACTTGGGAGGGGAATGGGACTGTGGGGGCATGATGGCTCTGATAGAGTGAGCGACTGTGGCCCTCTTGGATTCTTATATTCAGGTCACATAGATTGTCAATGTTGGGGTCAAGTTGTTCATGCTTGGTCAGATCATGGAGCACCATGTCCTTGCTTCCTACCTACATTCTGACCCCAAACCCTGCATTGTATCAGAGAAGTATAGCGAATATGCTTAAGTCTACTCTAGCTTTGCTGAGAACAGATCAAGAAGGGAAGAAATACGAGACAGAGCTCTCAGATCGAAGGTTCGGCAACTGGTCAGAGTTTCAAACTCTGAAATGTGAGGCCACCTCGACCTAAAATAAGTGATATAACAGGCATGTGATCACAAAATGTTCATTGTTGACAAGCAGCATGACACATGAAGAATCACCACGAAGCTTCGAAGTTTTTAGACTTTGGTCTGGTGCCACCACAACCACTTGCGTTCACCTCATGAAGGTCCTACCGCGTACGTCCATTTTGTTAGCTACCTTCCCAATTACATCCACCACTACGGCAACTACCTCATGCCTACGAATACTCAAGCCTGGGAATGCGAGGTATTGGGGTAGTTGCCATATTATGTGGGTGCATTGGGACAGCTGCATCGTGTGTAAGATTCCTACCGGTCCTGACCCCTGAATGTTTGAATCCTTAGATGTCATTACCGAATTTTTCTCCTTCTGAAAGGCGTGTCCTTCATTCACTGGCATTCCCACTCCCTCAGCTGCATCACTGACACCCAATTAGACGTGTTCTGGTGCCCACTTCTCACCATGGGAAGGCTCCACAGCACTGGTAATGAGCTCTGATCTCGACTTCAGCTTCTCCCATCTCCTCCGTGACTGTGTTGATCACGAGGAAACCCTTGATCCCCTGGATGCATACGATCCCTTCGACCTCAACAAACCCCCCCCTTCAGCACCCACGATGCCAGAACCCATGACGGAATCCATGCCGCTGCCTCCACTGAAGTCAGCAGCCTCCAACCTATTGCCACCTCCAGCAGCCTTGAGCCAGTCTGATTCACAAAGCCATCAGAAGAATCAAAGCCATGCCAACCGCAAAAAGCAGCAAGCCAAACAGTGAGGATCCAGCCAGCCCTACGGCTATCAAGCATGCCCCAATATGCAGCGCAAGCACCAGACCCACGCAGAGGAGATCCCAACCAACCATGCCACTGAGGGTGCCCCAGCAGCATCCTCTGGGTACGTCGGCAGGCGCCTTGATGAGGGGTGGAAACGATCCATTGCATTGTGGGATTTAGTGGGCCCAAACAGCCGTTACAAGTTTGACTACAAGGGTTGGTGTGGCCAGTGAGTGCCTAACCTCCTACCACATCCCTGCCTCATTAAGATCCCCCTCCCTCCCCGCAGAACTGCAACTCCGGTCACTGATGGCAAGGGGCACGTCATCGCCATTCTAGCAGGGCAGCCTGATGATTCCAGCTGGGATGGCGTACATACCTCAGCCGCCGACCTCTTGGATCAAACTCGATGCGAATGCAATTTCTCACGTAAGCAGCAGATGCATCAGCGTGGCCGCTACTCTGCCCTCTCAGTAGGTATTTCATTTGGGGGGGGACAAAAGGCATGTAATTTGACCCTTTCTTCAGGCGATCTTTCAAATAATGTACCTACAGCACCCGCAGAATCTTCACCATGAGGGCACTGCAGCACGTGTCCTCGCCACCCTCCTCAACCACATTGCCTTCATACGCCTAGTGGGATTTGCCTCTGGTACGCTATGAAACCTTTACTGCATACCCATTGCTCAGACTTCTTAGGCACATTTGCTGCGTGGGCCCCACCCCTCTTTCAATACTATGCCAAACACCTCAAGGCCCTTCTCCTCAGTGATGACAGCCTTATCCTCAACTTTGCCAACAGCATTTTCTGTGCATGCACATTTAACTTTGGGCCCAAGACCGCTACCTTTGAACATATGGACTCGGGAAACCTACCCTTCGGTTGGTGCTCAGTAACGGTGCTCGGTCGCTTCAACCCCAAGCAAGGTGGTCACCTAATCCTGTGGGACCTCAAGCTGGTAATTGAGTTCCCCCCCGGATCTACCATACTATTCCCATCCGCCATCCTCTGCCACTCCAACACACCCATCGGCTGTGGGGAAACAAGGTACTCATTCATGCAGTATACGTCAGGGGGGTTGTTTCGCTGGGTGGATCAGGACCTTCAGTTGAGTGAGGACTACTGGAGCCAGCTCAGTGATGCAGAACATGATGCTGCCCTCAGAACTCGTGCTGGGCAATGAGCAATGGGTCTTGGTTTGTACGCCTCTATGCCTATACTTAGGAAGGGTAACACATGAATGAATACATATATGTGTACCTGTAGCTTAAATCAAATGTAAACATAATATGATAGTGAATGAAACAATAATTTAAAACCAGGTACAAACTGTATATACTGGATTCGAGGCTTAAAGAAAACATCCCATTGAGTTTGATCTGTAAAAGAGTCCAGCGACTTCACCATTAAGGTGGAGGGGTGTATTAGCAGTCAACATCTACTATCAAACAATCAATTGAATGCCCTCAATGGCGTCTTGATCTTGAAGTTCGATCACTCCAGTCTTGCGTGCCATGAGAACATAATTTCGCATTCCATCGTTCTCGACTCCGGTGTAACCTATTCAACTGGGAAATAGCATGTATAGTTCTTCATACAAGCTTTAAGATTTGTCACATGATTGTCAATTTTTGATATTTTCCATCTTGAACCTTCTTGAAATTCACAACAGTTCAGCGCTACGACTTTCAATACCTAGTACAATTGCTTGTCGCCTACACATATTAAATCATTCCTATCCCTCAACTCATAAAATGCCAGAAACCATCTTTGTTAATGAGGGGATTCACAGGTCAGCGACCAAAAGACAAGCTCACGATATCTTTTAACGAAATGTTTAGGGAACAATTGCTCAGAATTGCTACTGCAGATCCTGATTGTGAATGGATGAAGCGCATTGATGCCAAACCTGATCTTCATCAAAGTGTCGATGACAATGAACAGTGAATGGCCAAAGACTCATCAGGAAGAAGGAGCTGGACTGTATGGAGGCGAGGTTGCTGAAAGAGTTTGGAGAAAGTGTGCCAGTTCTGAAATCGGAGTCGCCAAGGGTCTCGAAGAGATCTAGTCACAGCCTCATTATGGTTCCTGCAGTGGGACTCAGTTAATTTACATGTTTATCTCTTATTTGGCAGATCCTTAAGGCTTGATTCACAGAGATATGCACACAGTATGTATGATTTTCAAAGGTTTTATACTACACAAAACTATGCCGGCAGTTATTCAATGTCCAAAAAACTACATATTTGATGCAGTAGCTACCCGGTCCTTCGTCTGACTTCTATGCCTGACTCATGGCAGTCACAAAGCTATCCTCATCATCACTAGACCAATCAAGGGTGCCCCACTCGTCCTCAATTGAAACGTCAAAGCAGGAGCCGGCGAGGGGGGTGACGTGAACCTCCTCGTCGTTATAGGCTTTGCAGTAAATGTCAACAGCGTTGTAATAGTTTGCTCACCACTCATACTTGTTTCTGGGAATGCTGATAACCCACTCCGCCGTTTCATTCCTGATGCTCTGGTGAGCTAAAGATGCTAGGAAGGGAAAAATGAACGTACCAGGTAAAAAACAGGCCGACTTCCTGGCCCGAAGTAATGACATAGAAATTATTCTGAGGGGGCCAAACATTTCAGGGACGAGGAAGGTCTTCAGGCCTTGGGATACAATACACTGGGCGTTTAGCATGGGAAGGGGTTGTCATCGTCATCATCGCTGCAGGTGTAGAACCCGCAGTCGACGGGGCGAGGGTGGTAATGGTAATGCTGCTGGTCGTGCTAGGGGTCCCGACGGTCGCAGTGCTGGCTGCAGTTACCGGAGGAGGCGCTGCCACTGGAAGGGTCGAGGTACCCCCAATAGTATTCGAGGCTGGAAGATGGAGTGTGTTAGAAGTTGTTGTCATGGTCGTGGTTGACAAAGTAGCTAACATTTCCTCAGTCAAGTATCAATTACGAAGGAATACCACACGTACCACCGCCTGCCAACAGGTTGAGGTTGGCAAAAGCAGCCATCAAAGCCAAAAAATCTGGAGAGGGGAGCAATGAAGCATTGTTAGCATGAGAACGGGAAAAGGGGAGCAGCCTGGTCTGCTAGATTTCTGTTTGAAAGGTGTTAGTTGACAGTTAATTGTGATACATCAGGAGTGTCAGTTTACATCCAGCTCATATACAGTAATTCCATCAGGATGACAAAGTGGCTTAGTAAGCTTCCCAATCTGTGTCAATGATGGCATCATTAGAAAAGAGGGCAATTCAGGGAATTGAGCCCGGGACCTCAAAAATAAATCCAATAATATCACATGACTTTCTCAAGCAAACATGCTAACCACTACACCATACTGGCATTATATATATGTCTTTTCATCTCTATATATACCCTCCCTCCCTTAACATTTATGACCTCATATTGATGCCCTCCCTTTGCTCCGCTCTGGTGCGCTCTTTTGCCTTTTTAGGCTCCCCAAATCAGCCCATCAATTTTGGCTGGATCCAGTGGCAGTGCCGCATTTTTAATACCCAAAATAGGGGCTATTTTCCGGTCAAAATAGCTATTGGGCTATTCTCAGGCTACTGGCTGGGCCAGGGGATAGCACTATAATCTGTATAGACATAAACAACATAAAATAGAGCCCTCTAATGATGCATAGGAGCCCTGGATAGTGGGATAAAAGGGTAATATAATGAAAATCACATAAATATTCGCTTTTGGGGGCTGCTGCATGCATTGGATCGGCTGGAGGACTTCACCAATCAATTCCCTGACCTTGAAAACACCCAAACGACCCCTCCACAGTACTTTTGGCACACTTTATTCCTGGAGATAAACGAAAATATTCGCTTTTTAGGGTGCAGCATGCTCCAGATCGCTTTGAAAACATTACCAGTCGATTCCTATGCTATAAAAATCCTAGAATACATCCTCCTTCGTAATATAGGTCCAGTATAATACAGTATAAAAGGGGGTATTAGGGGGCATACATCGCTTATTTTGTTTTTCGCACTTCGGATGGCCTGGGGAGCATCACCAATGGAATCCCTGATATTAAAAACCCCAAAACGACTTCAGCCTTCATTTATAGGGTCTCAAAACGACAGAAATAATGATATTACAGTTTAGGAGGAGCACATGTAACAAATCCTATTTCTGGGCTTCAGACCACTTCAGAGTTTTGTCTATTGTGTTTATTGACCTGAATAACACTCAAATGACCCCACAGGACAAAGGAAACCATCAGAAATACGTGATAAAAAGAGTAATAGGGGGATGGAGGAGACATACCTTATATTTCGCATTTCTAATAGTTAGGGAGGGTATTCTTGTTATATAACAGACTGTATATATTGTACAATGGTGTGTACGAAGCCCCATGGATATCCGAAATGTATTGAATGAGATATGAGCAGATCATTCTGTAAAACAGGAGGAGTACATCCCATATTTCGATGTTCTGCTCATTCTATGGCCTGGGGACTATCAGAATCGGATTCCTTGACCCAAAAAACAGTAGGGCCACCTATCATCCATAGGAGCCATTTTACCCAGATAACACATACAGCCATATGTAGCTACAGGACAATATAAGTAACAAATGAGAGAACATCTTGTACTTCGGAGTTTGAACATCTGAATACCATGGATGATAGGTGGCCCTACTGTTTTTTGGGTCAAGGAATCCGATTCTGATAGTCCCCAGGCCATAGAATGAGCAGAACATCGAAATATGGGATGTACTCCTCCTGTTTTACAGAATGATCTGCTCATATCTCATTCAATACATTTCGGATATCCATGGGGCTTCGTACACACCATTGTACAATATATACAGTCTGTTATATAACAAGAATACCCTCCCTAACTATTAGAAATGCGAAATATAAGGTATGTCTCCTCCATCCCCCTATTACTCTTTTTATCACGTATTTCTGATGGTTTCCTTTGTCCTGTGGGGTCATTTGAGTGTTATTCAGGTCAATAAACACAATAGACAAAACTCTGAAGTGGTCTGAAGCCCAGAAATAGGATTTGTTACATGTGCTCCTCCTAAACTGTAATATCATTATTTCTGTCGTTTTGAGACCCTATAAATGAAGGCTGAAGTCGTTTTGGGGTTTTTAATATCAGGGATTCCATTGGTGATGCTCCCCAGGCCATCCGAAGTGCGAAAAACAAAATAAGCGATGTATGCCCCCTAATACCCCCTTTTATACTGTATTATACTGGACCTATATTACGAAGGAGGATGTATTCTAGGATTTTTATAGCATAGGAATCGACTGGTAATGTTTTCAAAGCGATCTGGAGCATGCTGCACCCTAAAAAGCGAATATTTTCGTTTATCTCCAGGAATAAAGTGTGCCAAAAGTACTGTGGAGGGGTCGTTTGGGTGTTTTCAAGGTCAGGGAATTGATTGGTGAAGTCCTCCAGCCGATCCAATGCATGCAGCAGCCCCCAAAAGCGAATATTTATGTGATTTTCATTATATTACCCTTTTATCCCACTATCCAGGGCTCCTATGCATCATTAGAGGGCTCTATTTTATGTTGTTTATGTCTATACAGATTATAGTGCTATCCCCTGGCCCAGCCAGTAGCCTGAGAATAGCCCAATAGCTATTTTGACCGGAAAATAGCCCCTATTTTGGGTATTAAAAATGCGGCACTGCCACTGGATCCAGCCAAAATTGATGGGCTGATTTGGGGAGCCTAAAAAGGCAAAAGAGCGCACCAGAGCGGAGCAAAGGGAGGGCATCAATATGAGGTCATAAATGTTAAGGGAGGGAGGGTATATATAGAGATGAAAAGACATATATATAATGCCAGTATGGTGTAGTGGTTAGCATGTTTGCTTGAGAAAGTCATGTGATATTATTGGATTTATTTTTGAGGTCCCGGGCTCAATTCCCTGAATTGCCCTCTTTTCTAATGATGCCATCATTGACACAGATTGGGAAGCTTACTAAGCCACTTTGTCATCCTGATGGAATTACTGTATATGAGCTGGATGTAAACTGACACTCCTGATGTATCACAATTAACTGTCAATTGTTAGCCACTAACTCCAATCGACTTAGATCGTACTAGGGTCACCACTCGCACTTCAGTGGTAGACACTCTAGCAAGTCAAAGACGAAGTTTGAAGTTGATGGGACAGATAGTCACGAAGAACGGAGTCCGATGTTAGGTAGATTAAACCTTAGCCGAAGCTGGGGTTTAGACCAGCTGAGGCTTTACTTAAATACACATTGGTAAACTAAAAATAGTACTGTGAGAATGCGTCCGTCATGATCGCAAACGAGTAATCAGGCTGAGTAATATGAAGGAAAAGGAAAAGAAATGAATAAACCGTAACATTACCCCCTCCTTAAGACTCATTTGTCCCGAATGAGAATATATCTCCTTCCTTCCACATGAGCGAGCAAGAGGGTCTCCCTTCTGCTTTAAAACAGTTTAGTATCGGGTCCACTGGGCCTCGAGTACTGCCGTCGGCCTCACCCCTAACTGCACCTGGATCCTGGTACCCGTGGATATCTAGGACCACCTTGCGCCGGTACGGCCTCTCGCTGTCTGTCGGGACTCCCTGTCCCTAAGGGTTCATTGCTCGAAGTTGAGCGGTGGTAATCCCCTTCTACACCATAAATAAGTTTCTATGACTCGTTCATCCCGAATGAGTCTCCAGACTCCCATTCTTTCTCGGTTGAGATTGATAGTGAGGCCTCATCGTCCCCTTTGGGTGAGTTACTGGATTCTGTTGGAACAGTTTCGAATGACCCTACGTCAGAGAGACGGTCATCGTCCCAATTTTTGGTTACTTGTTGAAGGAGGTCGAGGTCCGAGTCATCGTCTGCTGGTGGGTCAAACAGGATGGGAGGATTTATGTAAGGACGTTGTTCCCGTCGCGACGCTTCGATTTCTATTTTGCGGCGTTTTAAGTATGAGTCGCGCACTCGCGAGTCGTCAAACTTGGGACCGTCATGCCATTGCGGTCAAGGAAGTCGAGGCCGCTCGTGAATTTCCTCTGGGTGGTCTTTTACATATTTGGCATTCCTCTCCTGAAGGGCCCTATCCATGGATTCGGAGATATCCTTTACCAGTCGTTGGAACGACGCGGTAACGGAGATGGGGCCATGTCCTCGCCCTGCGTCTGACGCCGCTGCCTCTCCTACTACGTTAATTTCCTCGGAGTGTGCTGCAGCTGAGCATTGGGATGAATACGTGGTTTCGATGTTGGATAGGCAGGGGGTGTCCAGATCATGGTATTGGGCCAGGTTATTCGGTGGGATTTTGGTGTCCCTTCCCACTGCTCTTCCTTTGTCATTTGCCTTCCAGAGGATTTTTCGAATACGCGTCTCATAGTCTTCTACGAGTTCTTCCGCGTTAGCCATGTTTGAGCGTTTCACCCAAGAGTTTTCCTCCAGAGGATACCCTTTCCATTTCACCAGGTACTCTGTGATGGTGCGACGGGTACGTCCACGTCCGATGACTCTGTCTCGTTCACCTACTATCTCTTCAATTTTGTATTCTTCTTTGTTGTCGATGAGTTCCGGGGGTGGCCTCTCCGGACGGGGTTGATTCGGGAATTCGGAAGCATAATAGGGCGTCAGCAAGGATTCGTTGAATCGGTTGTGAATCCTCCAGCTTACGGGGAGTTTGAGTTCGTAAGCAGAGGCCCCCTTTTTTGCCACGATGGTGAAGGGTCCTACTCGACGATCGCCCAGTTTCTTGGTCGGCCGTGGTAGGTTCAGGTTGGTAGAATCGAGCCATACCTTATCGCCTACTTGATACTGGGCCGCCTCCCTCTTGTGTTTGTCGTAGGCTTTCTTCATTGATTCAGCCGCCCGCTCCAGGGATTCTTTGGCTCTCTCCTGCACCTCCTTAATGCCTTGAACTAACTTTGAAGCAGCTGGAATGCAATCGGGACGTTGGGCTGTCTTGATGACCTGCCCGTCTCTCCCGAAAACAACTTTGTATGGGGAAAAACCCGTCGCCAAATGTTTGCGATTATTATGAGTGAA